TTTTTTTCTTGCTGAGAAATGGCCATTCCAGGTGATTCTGCTCAGTCAAGTGATTCAGTCGTTCCCTCAATTGATTCCAACCATCCCTTATATATGCACCCATCTGATAATCCGGGTGCTATGTTGGTGTCAGTACCGTTTGCCGGGATTGGTTATCGATCATGGAGGAGGAGTGTTCTACGATCACTGTCAGTGAAGAACAAATTGGGTTTCATCAATGGAGAATGTCGGCGACCCAAAAGCATTGATCCAACCTACAGGCAATGGGAAAGGTGTGATGACATTGTCACATCATGGATTCTTAACTCCTTATCGAAGGAAATCGCTGATAGTGTTGAGTATGTTGTGGATTCAACAGAGCTATGGAAAGAATTGGAGGACAGGTATGAACAAACTAATGGAGCGAAGCTGTATCAAATCCAAAAAGAGATCAATGATACGTCTCAAGGATCACTGGATATAACTGGATATTATACCAAATTGAAGAAGTTGTGGGAAGAGCTTAGTACTTTGAGTGCCAAAGCTAATTGCACCTGTGATTGCACTTGTGGAGCCAAGGCAATTGTTCACAAGGTGGAGCAGGATCGTCGTTTGATTCAGTTCCTTATGGGACTTAATGAAGTTTATACAATAATGCGAGGTAGCATACTCATGATGAATCCTTTGCCATCTATGGCGCAAGCTTTTTCCTTGTTGGTTCAGGAGGAACAACAGAGGGAAATTAAGCCAGCCAATCACCCAAACTTGGAGTCTGCTGCGTTACATGTTGGTACCAGCAGATCCTCCAATTACAGAACAAATTATACCACAAATACTTCCAAACCCTCTCTGCAGTACAAAGACAAATTCTGTGACTATTGCAAGAGAACTGGTCATCTTGTTGAGAAGTGTTATCGGCTTCATGGTTATCCATCCAATTCAAACCAAACCTTCAACCGCCAATCTTCTAATCCAAATTCCAACAAACCAGTTCCAAATCAGAGAAACAATGACTACCAAGGCTCAAATCAGAGATTTAACAATGTTCGAGGAGGACATAATCCACAGGGCATTAGATTCAAAGGTAATGGACATAGGGCAGTCGCAAATGTCCATTGTGCACAAGATTCCGAGAATGGGAAGAGATCTGCAGATAACTCTAATCATGAGGAGATGTACAGTGTGAATCTTACCAAAGATCAATATGGTCGAGTACAGGACATGCTTCAACATTTTCAGGGAGAGCATGGTGATGATGGCAACTCAAATTTCACTGGTGGCACTGTTGACTTTGCAGGTACTATAGTTTGCACCTCCTCTATTGATTTTGGGAAACTATCATGTGAATGTTTCAAAAATAAGTCTGACTCATGGATACTAGATTCTGGAGCATCAAACCACATGACTTTCAACATATCCTTACTGCACAATATTATCACACTCCCATATCCAATATTAGTAGTATTGCCAAATGGATATAAGGTTAAGGTAACACAAATTGGTAGTGTGACATTGTCTCCCATGATTAGTTTGAAAAAGGTTTTCTTCATTCCATCTTTCAAATACAACTTAATCTCTATTCATACCATGACTTCACATTCAAATTGCACTGTCAGTTTCAACAAAGTTTCTTGTTACATGCAGGGCCCTTCAATGAAGAGGCCTCTGGTGATTGGTAGGGCAGAAGATGGCCTATATTTTCTATGTCCCAAGTGTGTCCAGAGTTCCAACCCATCTAGTTCATTGTTTCTGAAAGACTCAACCTCATCTAGCAATTTAAATTTGTGCAATTCTTGTAAACCTCATGTTGCAGCTGATACTTCTTGTTTGAAAAATCATAAATGTACACATTACCCTGAAAAAGGGACTTTGAGAAATAAAGATTTTGTTGCCAAGTCTCATGTTCCTTCTTTTTCAGCTTCTCCTTCTCATTTGCATAATACAGTTTCAGATCATCATGCACATGCTAAAAATGATGTAAATGTTCTGTGGCACAATAGATTGGGACATGTTCCTTTTGTCAAAATGAAATGCATTTCCACTATCCCTGCTAGTTTTTCACCACAACAACCTTTTATGTGTTCAGTGTGTCCTATGGCAAGACAAGAAAGACTCCCTTTCAAAACAAGAACCTTTTTAACTTCTTTCATTTTTGAGTTGTTACATGTAGATTTATGGGGTCCATACCATACACCTACACATGACCATTTTAAGTACTTTATAACAATAGTAGATGATTTCAGTAGATCTACATGGACCACATTGTTAAGCTCCAAGAGCAATGCTCTACAAGCATTAAAAGTTTTTGTTGCCATGATAGAAAATCAGTTTAACACCACTGTGAAGACAGTCAGAACAGACAATGGCTTAGAGTTTGTCAATTCAGAAACAACTCTTTTCTTTCAAACCAAAGGTATCCTCCACCAGAAAACATGTCCATACACACCACAACAAAATGGTGTGGTGGA